ATTCAATACCCAGAAAACATTTGAGTTTTATATCAAATTGTACAGAGATTCATTAAGAGAAAATAAATCTCAGAAAATAAAATATTGTTGAGATATTAAATGCAGTGTGTCTAAATTTCCATTATCAACGTACTCCTATGATCCATTATTCAAACTAGTATAAATATTTATAGATTTTTCAACCAGCCAATCAACACACAGTATGCAGCAATCAAATGTTATCAAATCAGCCAATAGAAACCTCTCTTTTCAGTTTGAATTAAAATTTATAAATATATATACAAGATAAAAAGAATGTCTTTGTTGCACTGAGAGTATAATTTAGGACTACAAAATGTTCAAATCTGCAACAAGTGCACCCTCTAGCATCAATGCAATAGGCGACTTTTCCTGAAGTCAAAGATAAAGAGTTTTGCATGCACGTGCATATCGTGTTGGGTTGTGACGTAAACTTGCAAATGTGATATTTTGTTAATGGGTGTACCAAGCGATGTCACAAAATACAAGTCATTGAAAATGACACAGTCCCAGTTAAATTTTTGAAAGTTTTTTTTGTGTTTGTCATATTAAAGCGGGGGGGTTGTCGCGAGCATGTCCTTGAGTACCAAGTGGCATATACAAGAGATTGTTTATTTACATCAAATTGGATGACATAGCAAAGACAAGTCATTATTAATGACACGTCCCCGTTCCGTTCATATTTGAGTGACATATACATTCAAAGCAGATCATGACCGAAATCTCAGACCACTGCACCTGCATATGTACAACACATTGTATGATGTGTGTGAAGTGTGGTCTTGATCTGTTCAGGCATGTCCGAGATATGGATCGAAAACTAAATTCTTCAAATCAAAATGGCCGCCAGTCAGCCATTTTGAACTTGATCTGAAGAAAAATGTGTGTGCATCAAGCTTATATTATTTTTAATATATGCACGAAGTCTGAACGAAATCCATCCATGCATGACTGAGATCCAGTTCCGGAATTGTGAAAATACATGATTTTGATGCATTTTCGGCCTTAAAATGGCCATCATTCAGCTATTGTTAAGCGGATCATGAAACAAATGCACATATCTATTTGTGACATGATGTACCATGTGTGTGTGAAGTTTGAACTTGATCAATCCAGACATGTCTCGGATACGGATCCAGAACTGAATTCTTTAAAACAAAATGGCCGCCAGTCGGCCATTTCGAACTTGATCCAAAAAAAAAAATGATGTACATCAAGGTCCTATTATGTTTAATGTATGTACCAAATTTGAACAAAGTCCGTCCATGCATAACTGAGATCCGGGTCCGGAATGGTGAAAATGTGCCATTTCAATGCATTTTCGGCCTTAAAGTGGCCGCCATTTGGCTATCGTTAATGAGATCATGAAACAAATGCATATACATATTTGTGACATGATGTACCTTGTGTGTGTGAAGTTTGAACTCGATCAATCCAGGCATGTCTCAGATACAGATCCAGAACTGAATTCTTTAAAACAAAATGGCCGCCAGTCAGCCATTTCAAACCCGATCCCCCAAAAAAATGAGATCCGGATCTGGAATGGTGAAAATGTGCGATTTTGATGCATTTTCGGCCTTAAAATGGCCGCTATTCGGCTATCGTTAATCGGATCATGAAAAAAATGCATGTGCACGTGTCCCATATAATGTGTGATGTATGAGTGAAGTTTGAACTTAATGTCCATGCATGTTCGAGATACAGGTGATCACGGACGCACAGACACACAGACGCACGGACGCACACAGGGCAAACCATAAGTCCCCTTTTCAGACTACGTCCGAACGGGGACTAAAAAACATAGATCACAATTAAAAGCAAGTTATCACATTTTGAACAGACAAGAAATTGAATTGACACGTATATGTATCCATTTATGACATGCAATATCAATGAAAATGATACATAGGTTACAGAGATATAATAATATGTCCAAAAATAAAAACAGTCGTTATTCGGCCATTTTTGATCTGATTATGAAACAAACTGACATGTATGTGCCAATTACAAATGAAAATGGTACATAAATTTGGAAATATAGTACCGGTAGTAAGGCCAAAAAGTCAGATGGCAGTCAATCGGCCATCCTTGATCCGATTTTGAAACAAATTGTCATGGCCATGTATCCTAACATGTATAAAGTATGTGCCAAATTTGAATGAAAACTGACAAAGCATGTCCAAGATACCACCTTTAAAAATGAAAAGATGGCTGCCAGTCAGCCATTTTGAATCGAATCGCTAAACCACTGCATGTGCATATGTCCCACATAAAGTACTAGGCACATGACAAGAATGACCGGAATCGGTCCAAAGGATTCTGAAATATGTCTCCGGAAGGACGGTCGGAGACCGATCAATTATAAGACAAAAAATTCCCTTCTATCGACTATTAGCTAACTGACAGGTTTGTATATTTTCACCATGGCAAAGCAAGAGTTTTTTTGCACCCTAGTCTCGCTACTTCCAGGAAAGTGGTATATGTTTACAATTGCCCTTCATGTTGAAACGCAGTCCCTCCCATGCATTGACTGCGGGCTGAAATATGC